ACAGTAGTACATTTACAAAATATCTTCATGGAACATGATCTTTACTTAATATCCTAATGATTATTGGCATAAAAGAAAAATCTATAATTTTGACCCATACAATGTATTTTTGGCTATTGCTACAAATATACCCCAGCGACTTAAAACTGCTTTTGTGCTCCAGAGTCACATATAATAATATCTTATATATAATTATATGTAATAATATATAGAATTATAAAATTTACATCCATTTGGATAACAGTTTTAACATAATCTAATAAACAATGTGATGAATATTTGTCGGGCATACATAATTGAAACCGGTTAGATTTCTGTAATAATACTAATGAAATTAATGTTTTAAATACACAACATCCAGATTTATATATTTATCATCAATAAATCCAATTTGTTTCTACGTTTTAACATGAATATTCCACAGTTAGCTATATTTTAACCATGTTTATGCTTTTTTACTGAATTAATTTAACAGTTTTCACAATGAACAGATTCATGCTGATTCTGAGCAATTTTAATAAATAGGACTATTTAAAAATCAAATAGTTGCAAATAGTTAATAGACAATAGCATGATTTTTTGAGCGCAGAAATCGTACCTGCGGTAAGTTTCTTACCTGCTTTATTTATGCATGACTGACAAATATGCATCACATGTTTATATGATGCATGCAAAGTTTATTTGGTTGTTTATGCTAAAACCGTGTCCAAATGGATGGGAATTTTATATGCAATTCAAATACATAAATCTTAAATTTAGGCCCAAATATTTTTGGAGCGCAATAAATTAATTTAATTATATCCTAAGTCTACATTCTTATGTGTACATAACTCAATGACTTCAAACCGAAACATCACATCACACAATGGTGCTCTTGTTACCAACAGACAGCCAAAATCCAGCACTGTAAAATCCAGCAGAAGTCCGTGGGACATCTTCATGAGCGTCTGGAGGATGCTGTCCACACGTGGGCTTTGAGCGCGTGTTTTTCTGTGTGTACTGCATCCTGTGCCTCTGTGTGTTGCACTATACGCTCCCAATGCGCCGGTTTCCAAGCAACCCGTGTAACACAGGGAGTGTCGCCCGTTGGCGTCTCTGAACTGTGTGGAAAGTGTAGGATGAAGAGAAGAAGGAGATGATTAAGCTGACTGCGAAAACTCAAACTCGCAGCTGGCCAATGCAGTGCATCGCTTACTTTCCATTGCGCAGAGCACTGGATTTTGTTAAAAACAAGCTAAACATTGCACACGGTGTGTTTTCATTCAACTGATTTTCCCAAGCCATCTCTTTAGACACAAGCAGACTGGAGCTGACAAGCCAGCGCCGTGTCAATCACACCAGAGGATGTTCTCTCGGCTTGTTTTCTTCCTGCTCTGATCCTCGGGGAGTTTGCACTAACCAGCATGGCCCTGGGCTTCCTTTCAGGGGCTGAGGGCATGGAGTGCTGCTGCTGTTTTGCAACAGAGACCATACAAAACCATACAGAGCTGGACCGAATTACCAAGTCAACTCTGAAGAGTGCTTCTGTTTGGAGTACAGCTCCAAATCTGGGATTCTGCGGCTCAATCCAATTAACTGCAATGTGGCGAATGCCAATTTAAAAACAAACACAAAACAAGAGCAAACAAATACCAAAAAAGTGGGAAAAAGTAAAGATAGACACCCACATTTCATTAAAGCAATATTCTGTGTTAAGTGTAGTAAAGGTCAATGAGCAGCAGCTGTCAATAATGAAAAAGTGATTTAAACTCATTTCTCAGTTTGTAAAAACAAATTAAAACTGTTTACAGCAATTAGCATGAATGAATGTTAAACGCGCAACTATTATACTGTTTCAAACACTGCTTGTTTACTGAAAAACTGATCCAAATTAAGTGAGTTTATGCTTAAAACCAGAAAAGGGGAAAACAGAAAAATAATCCTGTTGACCCTTTGAGTTGTTTATTTTTCCTATATATTTTTTTCCTCTTGTTTTAAGCATAAACTCGCTTTAATTTTGATACATTTTTCAGTAAACAGGGCTTAATATCTTATCAAAATTAAGTGAGTTCATTCTTAAAACAAGAAAAGGGGAAAACAGAAAAATACGTTGATTTTTTTCTTGTTTTAAGCATAAACTAACTTTTTTTTTTTTTGAAAACTGTAACCTGTAAATGTAACTTGACTTTTATATATTTTTTTTAAATATTTTTAATGGATTTTTTTACTTTAACAACTATCCATAAAGCACTGAAAAAATGCTTACGTGAAAAAATGACATCAATAACACAAACGTTTATCCACTAATTAGCACAAATAAATGTGCCACTGCTACACTGTTTTAGTCATTGCATGTGTTCGTATGAGACTGTTTTATAAACATTTGATAACTATCTATAAAGCACTGTTTACATGAAATAAATTATGCCAATAACACACAAAAGTTCATCCACTTATTAGCACAAATGAATGTGCAACTGCTACACTGTTTTAAAGTCATTGCATGTATTCATATGAGACTGATTTGATATACTTTATTTCAGTAACACATCAAAGTTAACCTGTAAATGCTATAACCAAAATAATGTTTTGAAATATTCCAGAGCAATCGGCCTGTAGGCTCCGCTTAAGTTCTGTAAGTGTGCTACTGAATCAACAGCACGTCTCAGATGCCGTTGACAGAACTGAAGTATTTAACCCAGAATATTGCTTTAAAGCAGAGATCAGCCCCCTTAAACAGTCATGTTACGACATCGGCAGGCTAAATCTCAGCAGACAGAGCAACACTCTGAGCTAATTAACCCATTAGACTCAAACATGCTTCCCAACATGCACTTGAGATCAGTTCCTATCAGAGTTTGCCAGCGGAGAGGCCCTTTGAAACGGAGCCTCTCAACTCTTCTGAAGAGCGTCCCAGACGGTTCCTTTGGTATTTTCTAATAAAAAACAGCAACGTTTCCTCCACATAAACGTCCGTTTGTAAACCACCAGGTTCCCACTTCTTCCTGGTGGTCATTTAAATGAGATTGACCTAAAAAAGAGCCGGCGTGACTCACGAAGACGTGGGAGAGGAACGCATGACTAAGATGACTGAACAATATCAACCACAGATGAAAGTGTCTCAGCTTTTTATTGGTTACCTAAAGCAGACTCCAGCCTGGAACGGACCCCACCAAACACCTCCGGAGTGAAAAGTCACAAACCACGCAACAGATCTCAGCTTTAAGAGCTTTCTTTAATTGCACTAAAATGACAGAATGTGAGACAACAGAGATGCAATAAAGTAGGGCTTGGTTTAGCCAAAAATCACTCACCCTCAGGTTGGTCAAAGCATTTTTGAAGGAGGTTCATGCTGCTCTTTTCCATGCAATGAAAGCCTGGACTGATCAAGGACTGACAAGCTGCTAAAGTGAAATTTTTTTTTTTAAAAAGTAATATGAAAAGGTCTGAATATGCGGTAGCACATAAGATTTGAAAGTCACAGTGGAGTGGAAGAGATTAAGTATTCTTCCTCACATAAAACTAAATATTATGACTTCAGAAGACTCAGAATATAGCACATACACACATTCATAGCTTTTTAGACTTATCAAAAAAAAAAAAAAAATAATAATAATTTCTTGCTATTTACTATTGCTTTTAGTATTTTATTTTTCACGTTTCCGTACAAATATCTTAAATAAAAATAATAAAATTCAAGATACATGTATGAGAAGCAAAATGACAAAGATCTTGTTTTCTGAAAAAAAAAAATCAAAAATCAAAATGGTCTTGCTTAAAACAAGAAAAAATATCTGCATAACAAATATCTGGGATAATAAAAGTAATCTTGTTTTCCCTTCGAATTAAGTTTACTTTTCTTGATTTATTTCTTGTTTTAAAACATTAACTCACTTAACATTCTTGCTTTAAGCATTTTTTTCACAAAACAAGACTTTATAGGGCCTATCTTAAGTAATTACCTCCCACATAAAAGTATCTTGATTTAATAATGTTTAGATATTTATACTGGAAAACAACACAAAAATACCACGTGAGATAACGCAGTTTTGCGTTCCATATAATAAATGAGGGTTAGGAACAAAATACGGTTAAGCACACGGTGAACACTGGTTTTTGGGTGAATTTCTCCTTTAAGAGGCATGCTTGGCCCTTTTTCTGCAGATGCTCTAAAGATCCTGATGGTAGTTTTGTTTGGAAGACTATTCAGGTCAGTCTTGCCATGGGCGCCCCCCTTGGGCCTCACTAAACCGTGCTACATCAGGTGGCTCGGTGCAGGGTTTTTTTTTGGAGGTACCTGGACTGAGCATGCCAGTTTCTATAAATGTTTGCAAGAGAAAAAAAACCTGACAGGTAAAAAGGGCTTTTGATGGGATAAGGAGGACAGTGAGAAAGGGAGGCAGGCGTGCGTATGTGAACTGTGGTGCCAGGCCCCTGGTCACAATCACACAGATTTGCATTCCACTCTAACAGGATATTGCCCAAAGTCACACACACACACACACACACACATACACTTTTTCTCTCTCTCCCTCCCTTTTCTTTCTCTCACAGCTTAATCCCCTCTGTCTCCTTTCTTTCTTTTAGCTCTTTCAGTTTAACTCTCACACTCTTCATAATCTCAGCTGCTCAGCCCTCCACTCGTCTTCTCATGGTCCCCTCAAACATTTAATTAGCTTATCGGCGCACATCTCTTCTCTTATGGTTCATTTTCAATCAGGCACAAACAGAAAAGTTAAATATAAGTATAGAACTTTTTAGAAGTGTTATATATGTGTTTTGACATGCACTCTCTCTGAAAAAAAAAAAGTACAAAAGTTGTCTGGTATCGTCCCCTTTTGAAAGGTACTAATATGTACTTTTAAGGTACAAATATGCACCTTTGGGAGTAAATAAGGTACAAAAGTGTACCTTTTGAAAAGTTACCGCTATGCAATTGCAAAAATAGTTTGTTTATATTCTTCAAGTAGTCTTGGGTACGTTTACGGCCTGCATGTTTTAATACCATGCATGCCATATAAGGCTACACTTGCTATCAACTAAATTTGCATTTCCTGAAGGAAACAGCAGTGCTTGCAAAATAAATGTGCAAAGGTGCAGTAATACTAGGCTTTGAGCATGTTACATTACTTTTGCGCAAAAAATATGGTATATGGGCAATGATGGCAGTCATTTTTTGTTTTTAATCAATTAATAATGCATCCATTAAATTCTAAACGTTAAAATATGCCATTGTTTAGTCAAAGTTCACCTGCTGTGTATGCGTGCGTATGAATGCAACACCCGCTGTGAGTGCACCTATAAATTTAGGTAAGCTTAGGAAAACAAAACCAATTTCCAAATATAGCTGCAAGCAACAATTAAGGGGCCAAGCACTCCAAAGGCAAAATGAATAGCTAAGCATGGCATGGAGCATCAGACCAATTGCAACAATGAGTAATCAAAGCAAGTTTAGGATAATTTGAAGCAAAATGGCTGAAACTTCTCGTAATATGATTGAATGGCTTATCACTTTTGACCAATAGGTGGCGCTGTTATCAATTCGATGTGGTGTGTTCTGTGTGAGGTAACAATGGCACACACAAAGTTTGGTGTCAATATGTCAAAGCTTTGCAGAGATACAGCCTCAGACATAATCTGGCATTATGCCTCAAATTTGTTGCGGCGCTATACAAAAATGGTTTTGTCTATCAACACGAAATCCATAACTTTTTGTCAGCACTGTCTGATGATGATCTAATTCGATTTTAGTGAAAATCGGACCAACAGTCAAGGAGGAGTTTGAAAAAGTAGGTTTTCAACATAAATCAAAATGGCGGACAGGAAGTTCGGCCCACAATGGCATAATTGGTATCTATGTTGTCGGCATGACCCAAGGAATATTTTGAGACCAGTTTCATTATAATAGGCTAATGCAATCAAAAATGATTAGCATTTTTGGAAATGTCATAATTAATGGTTAATGAATGGTTTATCACTCTTGACCAATAGATGGAATTACCGAAATTATGTGGCCTGGTCAGTGTGAGATGACAATGGCACATACAAAGTTTGGTGTAAATATGTCAAAGCTTTGGCAGTGAAATACCTTTTCGTATATCAGCACGAAATCCATTACTTTTTGCCAGCTTGGTCTGAAGATGATCCAAGTCAAATTTGGTGAAAATCGGACTAACGGTCTAGGAGGAGTTCGAAAAAGTAGGTTTTCAACATGAATCAAAATGGCGGACAGGAAGTTCAGCCAATTATGGCAAAATTGGTATCGATGTTCTCGGCATGATCCAAGGAATCTAGCAAAACCAGTTTCATTACAATAGGCTAGTGTAAACATAAGCTTTTAGCATTTTTAGAAATGTCATTATAATTTTTTATAAGCCAAACTTGTTGAGTACCATCAGGGCATGGCGCCGAAGAAGCATACCAAGTTTCGTAACGATACGTCAATGCGTTTGTAAAATATAGCATTTTACTACAAAATTCAAAATGGCCGACGCCCAAAATGGCTGACATGGGAAAATTGGGTATCATTCTACTCGGCATGCTGCATCTAATCTAAAGAGACCAGTTTTGTGATTTTTGGCCAAACCATTCAGAAGTTATAAGCAAAAATATGCAT